GGGACAAAAGCAAAATTTAGAAAATGTTCTAGCAGCACAACACAGTATTGACCTGCTTAAATGATTTGATTTGAAGGAGTTGCTATTAAGTAGATTTTTGTCAAGAACAGTTTAAACACTTCACTGTAGCTGGATTTTGACTGTGAGGGGTGTTTAAGACATTCTGCAGAAATACCAACACACATATCCCAACCCTGCCAAAAAGCAGTAGCCTAAGCTTCCAGAGATGTATAACCAGACTGGATTAATATAATAAGCATACGTTATTGTTCAACTTCATTACAATAATTTCCCTCACTAGAAATTATTATGCATTTAATCAAAAATGTGTAATTTTTTTTAGATCTAGATTTTTGATACTGGCACTATCTAAAGACATCACAAAGAAGGCATTTTTAGTTGACAATGTACTTCATCATTTCACTGTGCATTAACAGCAATTAATGACTTAAGATCACATAATAGACTCACAAAGACAAGATGTATTTATCTGATCACTTGAAACTCCTCTCTCCGTTAAGAAATACTGCAGGGTGAACATTATGAAATCCAGCTAAGGAGGATGGTTCATTGACTTTATTTCACATTTTCTTTACACTCCATAAACTGGAAACGATTTTTTTTTTTTAATTAATAAAACACTTATGTGATCACACAAAGCTTAAAATTAATCATGTTTTAAAGAGGAAAAATGACCTCACTATGTAAAGGTTATCCTCCTTGTTAAAAAAAAACAGGTAAGATTTAACTGTTTTAAAAATACGAAGATAAGGTAAAGCTAACAATGTCTCCGTAGAATTTCTTCCTCCTGCTATTAAAATATCAAAACAGAAATCAACCCGTGATAAGATTATTTTGCAAACGAAATACTACTGAGCCTGAAATTTTCAAGTCGTGACTCAAAACCTTTAACAAGATGATGCATGTTTTCACCGGCAAAATCACTGCTTTCACTTTTAAGCAATGCATGATTCACAAAACAAACTGAAAAATCTGGAAGATACCAGGTTCTTTCTTAGAATTAACCAGGTCAAAAGAAAACAAGCACCTGATTGGAAACTTGTACCATCATTACTCTTTTCCTCTGTGCAGCACCACACGGAAACATGGATCTATGTGCTTCACAGCTACCCACAGTGCAGTAACTGCCCAACTTGGTAACAACCACCAGAGTTGCCCATTCGTTTTCAAGTGTGCCTGATCTGGAATATCATTTAATTGCCAAAATGGTCTGTGAAACTGTAATTATTGTTTCCATTTCTACATCTGCAAGCACAATTCCAAGTTTAAAACACTCATCTAAGATATTTAATGAAAATTTGAAGCCCTAGAGTGCATTTGTCAGAGGCCCTTAAAAGGTGTTTGGATCGTCTATTTCTCTTGAAGAAAAAGGAAGAGAATTCTTCCACACTGTACTGAGGCAGTGATAATCAGATCCTAGTTAACTTGGTTCAAATCCTAAGATCTCAGAATCCTGTTAAGTCTGAAAGGGAATACCTTTTAATGTTTCCATTACTTCCCGTACAACAGATGTCTTTATAACTGTGCTCAGTAACTGATTTCACAGACTAAACACTGTAGTTTGACTCTTAGGGATGGTCTGAGCCCAATTTAATAAGTTCTATGTATTCACAGGGTATCAGTATTAAATATGTAATAGTACAGCAGCTAGTAAAGATTTAACCTTATGCATACTTTTTAAAAGAAAATTTGGATCGAAGTATATTTGAAGTAAAATCACTTTATCAGTCAGGGAACACTGCTTTTTGCTCCTGGTACTCTGTGATTAAACAATCTTATGTTTTACAAGCAGCTAACTGATGAAGGTAACAATTCATTAAGTAATGAAAACTGTGCTTCAGAAGTGCCCAATTATGACTTGCTTCCCTCGCCCCATGCCACTCCCCACTTCAGGTGTCCAAAAGTACCACTTCCCTTCAGCTTTGGTTGCCCTCTTTGAAAACAAGGCAGTACTCAGACAGCAAGGCAGAACACGGTTTAGTGTCAACCAACGTTAAGTTTGTCTCGGAGTATCTTAAAACTGTTGAATGTGGAAAACACCTAAAGTTTCATTCTCATTGTGCCAGAGAATCATGATTGGAATGTAGAGGTTTAATCAAATTTGACTGCTGAAACCGATACGGAATTACAAATTTTTCACAAGTGTGTATGCTATCATTTGGTTTACTTCAGTTACTATTCCCACTGGCATTCCAAAATGCCACGAAATACAAGACAGTAAACACTAAGCCCTCACAATTGCTTTTGGCAATTGTCAGTTTTCTTCCACTCATCCATTTATTTGTTTAACATGCTGACTCTGCTCTCAAGAGAATATAAAATGCATTTCTATTTGTCTTTCTACAATTCTCCTGTAAAGCAGAAGAGAAATTTGATCCTAGGTTATGCTTGAAATAGGTATTTGGGGGATTAATGAGCTGCCTACAGCTGTTAAGGCAAAAGGTGAGGAAGAATGGTGAACAGTCTTCCCATCTTTTGTTATGGCACCTTATTTTCTAAAACCATTAACTGAGAACAACGTAAAAACAAACTGGAAAATACCTGCAAGGCTATAAGCACAGAAAGCTATTTAGAGAATTCCTGTTTGTAGTTTTAGAACAGTGCAACTCTGCCCTTCGAATGAATTTCCTTTCATACAAAACTGACAGCTATGCCAAAATTTCAAGAAGTTTTTTTAGCATTTTTAATGAAAAAGCTTTTCAGGAATTCAGAAACATTTCTTCAGATTTCTGATGAAAGAATTTTGTTCAAGGCAGAAGCTTGTCATTTTCATTAAGAAGGGTCTCATTTCCATTGTGTTAACTGCTGCCAGGGGATCTTTACCTTAAAGGTTTCCTGTCTTGCTGTCACACTAAAACCAGTGACAAAGTAATGCTATGAACCAAGAATCTATCAAATTTCTGTATGGAAAAAGGTATTGAATTACTGCAGATGATGCCTTTTATTACTGCATGTAGTATCTGAACATTCAGAGCAGAAGTGGGAAGCAGTGTAAAAGCAGAATACTAATGGCTCAGATCCAGTGACGACAGAGAAGAGCAAGGGCTCTGACTGAAAGAACTGTATACTTATCTCCTATGAAAAACACAGCTACGATTAACTCTTTGAAGAGGTTTCAAAAGAACACAGAAACCTATTCAGAAATAACTCAAGGAATCTACTCAAGAAATAGTTCAGCAAAGTTATGGTCCTCTGAGAGACCTTCCTTAACCTGAATTAATTTTTCAACCACTCTATCAGTATAAACTGCTGTTCTTATTCCTGAAATTCAGGCAACAGCCAGGATACCACAAACCTCTATGTGCAACACAACTTAATGCTGAAGTAATAAAACCCTCAAGTGGCAGAAGTGAGAGGATCCTAGTAGTTCAAATGAAAGCAGAAGACTCCCTATGGTTAAAATACAAATAATCAAATGAATTGTTAATTCTCAAAGCCTTAAAGTTAAAAAACATCAGCATAAAAATGTGTACAGTCAGTACACACTTCAAAATCTTAATTGTGTGTTTGCTTATTCAGATTTGGCCTATGAACACTTGATATATCTGACTCCATCAACCTTCAAGAACTGCACTTCCCTAAAGCATATTGTATGCTAACTAGTTGATAAATGGACACAATATTTGCCTCTAGATCAGGAATTCATTCTTTCAGTATCTATCACTTCCTGGACTCGAATTTGTTGGGCTTCCTCATTAGCTCCTGAGTAAGTTATTATTGAACCATACTTCAACAGTACTTGCTTCTTTTCAGTGCGTGAAACAAATTACTGGTAAATGGCCACATATGAAGTACTGATCAATAGACCATTAACCACGGATAACAATGAGAAGACTTGAAGAGGCTGTATGCAGCTTCAGAAGTACTCAAAGACTATCTGAAAGTCATGAAGAGATGAGGACGGTATTAAAGTATCAAAATGATACCCAATATTCAGTTATTACCTGCATTCCCATCTCAAGATAGAAATATTATCATATCTCCTATTGAAGGAATTAAGTGTTTGAGAAATCAATGGGTTTTATCATCTAAAACCGATCGCAGAAGAGCAGCTTCACTTATGCTTGACCGAAAGCTTCAGCATAGCTTTTATTCTCACTGTATTGTTCTCTCTAGTAGTCAGACAGACCCATTGCACACTGTGTTCCAACACAAATTGGTAGGCTGATACTTTCCCCAGAGTCTCATGCAAACAGTTTAAACAGTATGCACTAACATGTTCAACCCTTTGAAAACTTACATCATTCACTAATGACGGTAACAATGCAGTTTAACTGTATATAAGCTTCTGAGGAAAGTACTTCTTAGATTACACAACAAATATTTAAATATTAATCAAAGCAGTATATTTAAAGACTTTTATTTTTTCTTAAACAAGAGCTGCATATGGTATTCAAAAAAAAAAACCCAAAACACAAGAACTTTGGAAATAACGACTGTTTCAACCCACATATTCTAAAATCATGACAGTAGGCATATTACAGTTGTGATTTTGTGATTCAACTGTATAACAGATACATTCCAAACCTTACTTGTATTTGTAGGAGATTTTGATTTAGCAGACTGATACAAACAAATAAGTTGCTATTACAAATCAAAACCTTCATGTGTGTAATATATAAAAGCCCCTGACAACTTAGAATTCCTTCATCTAGGAATATCAATACTGATGACTATGACTTTAGGATTAGAATTTAAATTTAATTATAATTTAATCTGAGGAAAAATTGCATCTGTCTGCAACATACCCAGCACTTTTAAGAAGTATTATCACAAAAGGTTCCTCCCCTCATGCTGTAAAGTGAGGGAGGAGCAATTCTTGTAATAGTCTGCTATGCTTAATAAAATAATACATTTTACATCATCTGCCTGCTATAAAACCATTACATGAATTCCATGGTACTGCACAAAGCATAAAAGTGTCATCGCACAGTTCTAAACTTAATAAAAGCATAATGCAAAGTAAAATAAGAATGTACCTTTCATCTGTGTTCCAAAGGTAAGTGCCAATTTTGCAAACAGTTCTGGATTTTCGAATTTGTCTTCTTCAGCTTTTACCCAAAAGCTGTTTTCTGCTATCTCTTGAGGCTGTATCTGAAAAAAAAAATGACAACTCCAAAGTTAACAGCTAGCATTCCCAATAGTCAAGTCAAAGTCAATGCTACTAGACTTCTGTGATAACTGGACTGAATTAAGTTTAGGGATGTTCCAGGAATTATATTCTCTTAAAGACACTTCCTAAATAAAACACAAGCAGATGAACTGCCCTCTATCTACACAATTATTTTTATTTTATTTCTCCCATTCAACAAGTTCTCCAAACAGTCTTGGTAACACCTCAGCTTCTGGTTTTGAACGTGTTCCAGCTTTCATCCAGTTGCTTTCCAGACAGTTCCCAAATTCTTCACCACTGATTTGCATCCCTGCTACTTGAGAACTGCGGAATGAATAGTGTTTCTTATACTACCAGAGAATGGAACACCTTATTTGCAAATCATATGTCAATGTGGACCTTCTAGTGACTTAATACTAAGTCTGTAGGAAGAATTATCTTTTTAATAACAGAAATAATTTTTTAAATTACTTTTTTTTTTTTTAAACAACATTTTTGTATTTCAAATGTAAACCCAGATTTCATGAAGAGTACCTTATCTGACACTGGCTATATTAAAGAAAGAAAGAAATTACTAAATAAATTATTTAAGAAAGAAAGAAAATAAAGAAGCAACCTACCTGGAACCACCTAAAATAAACCTGGGGGAAAAACTGGAATGATCTCCAAACACAGCCCAGTGCTGCTGCCCTAAGACCCTCCTCCATCTTTACACACACTCTTAAAACTGAAATTCCCTTGTGTCTGACAGGATAGATCAACTATGTACGAACTGGATGGACTTATGATCCTGTGTCCTAGCAATACTGTGAAAACAGACTACAAAGGCTCGTTACTGCTGTGTAACGATGGGATTCATTTCAGAGGCTTCATACTGAAAATACGTAGCATCTTCAGCCAGGAAAAACATCTGGCATCACATGTCATCCGGCTCCATCCAGGACAACCTGGTAACACCCAACTTTGTATAAAGATGTGTATCTACATCCATATGAATTTCCCAACAATTTTATCAGCTGTGAAACATCCTGAAAAAAAGTTGTACTATTTCAGAGTGAGATTTAATTTACATGTTCAACAGTTGTCCAATGTTAAATTGCACCTTAAGGTCAGCAGTAACAATCTGCAGACACTTAACAGTTTACTTCCATCAACATTTTTGATTTGACTAAGTTCTTGGTACTAACACACTACTGAGATAAAATATGGTTTTCAAGGAAAGTGTCAACACTAACTGGTAATAAAAAGATTTAGTATCTTGACAAACAAGTAGCAGATACCCAGTCCAGCTACACTGAAGTCAAAGCTAGAGCTCAAACCAGACAGCATGCAACATATAAAGGTGCTCCTTTGATTTGCTTTGATGATTTGGTGATCTCTGTATTTTTTTTCATACAGGGAACCTCAATACACCTATCACGTTTTATACAACTAAACAGCTGCCAACCACAAACTGTTTTTAAGATGTGGTGGATTAGTCTTGATGATAGATGCAATTATCTAGTACCCAATATTTATTTCCTTTACATGGAAGAACAGTGGCTATACTGATCAAAATGGGATTTTAAAGCAACACGTACACTAACACACACCCGGATACTCATATAACTTCTCTTGTCACAAAATGACCAACTATACTGAGAGGCAAGTAATAACTAGGAGATGCTCTTACTGGTCAGTTTGCAAATCAGAGATTGTGCTTGCAGTTTACTGCTCAAGTAAATGTTTATATTGTAAGATGTTTTACAAACTGAAATCTGATTAAATACAGCCATGCTAAGACTGTGCAGAAGCTCACAGTCATTGGTAGTAAGTGGGGCCCAAACATTTCACTCGGGCAGTCGCACAGCTCCTCCCGCAGCCATAAGCCTGCCCTACCGCTTCACTAACCTGAAACAACCAATAAACATCTCAGAGATTAATAACAATACGCAAGCACTGTTACTGCACAGCCACCAGCATTCTCTGAACTTAGAAGAACTACATTACATACCACAAACTTAGAAGGTTTCTACCTGAAATAGCATGCTGTTATCTATGCTCAAACAGAGTTCGGATATCTCCATGTCACTTAACGCTAAGTAACAACTCATGTTCCCTGTCCATAATAGAATGGTGCCCCAGGTTCCCATTTGGTTCATCTCAGTTTTTCTCTCTGCTTTGATACAGACCAACAACACAATCAGATCTCTGCAGAACTATGAAATTCAGTGAGCATTCAGCCACTGGTCAATACTCCACATACGTTGGAGGAGTCAGAGATGTCCTCCCAAACTCTCCCCAGAGGACAAGGCAGAAGAGAAGGAAAACACGGCAGACACCTACTGCCATCTCCTGCTGTCATTATGTAACTCCACTGAGCTTTGCACATACGCTCAAAGTCATCTATCACTCAGCAGTGTGCAAGCCCCAGACATTTCTAAAGGAATTTTATATTGGAACTACACCAGTTTGCCGTGATACCCATCAGCCAAACATCAAAACTAAAGTTCTGTCAACAAGAATACAGTATCAATTATATTTGTAAAGTAAAGGAGAGAGGACGAACATCAGCTTAACCCTAATAGAGCCATGACTAACTCCAGTTTAATACTAAGCCACATACTACTAAATCAAATGCAGTAATAACTACACAAAACTAGATAGCTAAATTTTAGCAAAAACTACTTCAATGCTTACAATAAAAACTGCTGTTTAATAACACATACTAAGTGTGTTATGTAGTATAACTAGCATTGATGGGCACGTAAGGCAACAAAAAGTCGAAGGTCCTTTCCAACTTCCACAATATATTGCAATGGTAAAAGAAATGTGAACACAAAATAACTGGCCTAATTTCTTATTTAGATGCTTTAATTTACAGTAAATTACTGTATTTATTTGGAGGACTGATCTTAAAACTATTCTTAACTGCATGTCAATATATCTGCCTTTAAATAAAAAATGTTAGTAGTTTAAGACTGTATATTTACAATCGTGGTAAGGACAGAGTTATTTCTTTTAAGGAAAAATTCTTTCACCAATGCCTTCCCCCTTTCTCTTTTTAAGCTAGTCAAGTTTCTAAGTTTCGTGCAAAGCTTTTAAAATGAAACTAGATAATCCAATGAAGTGTCACCTTAGCAGTTTCACTCACTCTTAATTTTTAAAAGAAATTCATAGAAGACATAACCAAAGCAAGCATGCACTGTTCTGCTGAGGAGTTATCAAAGCTAAAATTACAGTATCTGAACACCTGATCCACTTTCAACCTGCCTCCAAGCAAGCAAGAAAAACTACCCCACACTATGGCTCCCACAGCTTGCTTAACCCAGAAGTTGTGCATTGCCTTCCAAAATTCCATGTACCTATTCAAATAAATTTTTCCTGCATTTCATACCTAGAGACTCCAGTAAAACCTCAATACAACTCCTTTCTCAACATCTTTCCTCATTACTCAGCCACAGCTTACCCCACAGCATAAGGTGTCTTTGAAAACCAACACTAACAATCACAATCACAGCATCAAGTGTTTCGAATAAAGAACAGAACTAATTCCCCAAACTTCGTGAGTACTATTAACAATCTAATGTAATCCATAGCACATTACCTCCTCCTTCCTCCAAAGCCACTTTTTATCAATGGGAATATAAACCGTAATACCTTTGACCAGTTGATTCTCTTCATTGTGACTTCCAGCTTATACTTTTTTTTCTCCTTCATCCCATGTGGTAATGCTGGTATCACTGGAAAGGGAGCAAAAGGAGCACCTCCAAAACCTGGTGGCATTGGAGGCCCACCAAAAGGTGGTGGCGGAGGAGGAGGTGCTGCTCCCCCAGGCAGTGGAGGAGGAGGTGGAGGTGCTGCTCCCCCAGGCAGCGGAGGAGGAGGTGGAGGTGGTGCTGCTCCACCAGGCAGCGGAGGAGGAGGAGGCGGTGCTGCTCCGCCAGGCAGCGGAGGCGGCGGTGGAGGAGGAGGTGGTGCTGCTCCGCCAGGCAGCGGAGGCGGCGGCGGTGGTACTGCTCCACCAGGTAGCGGAGGTGGTGGCGGAGGAGGAGGAGGTATTGCTCCACCAGGAAGCAGAGGAGGAGGTGGAGGTGCTGCTCCTCCAGGTAGCGGAGGTGGTGGAGGAGGTAGTGCTCCCCCAGGTAGCGGAGGTGGTGGAGGAGGAGGAGGTATTGCTCCACCAGGAAGCGGAGGCGCTGGAGACGATGGTGCATTGTCACTTGGCAGGAGTGGAGGTAATGGCCCTGCTTCTGTTAGTTGACCTGTCAGGCCTGGACCCTGAAATATAGAAGAGGAATTCTTTTCATAGGGAAAGGGAAGGAGGTTTAATATTGAACTAACTAGGATGTCTTGTAGTCAACTGTACCTCAAGAAAGTGAGAAATGCAACCATTCTCCTATTTAAATGAGAAGCAATAACAATAGATTATATCATGTACCATAAAACTGCCAAGTAAACTGAATAACCTAGCATTTTTATAAAAACAAATTGTTTCCATTTTAAAGAAAATTTAATAGCAGCAGTAACATTTAACTGAACAGAACAGCATTTTATTTGTTACCAATGCACAAAACATTTATCCCACTTAGGATGTCCTGGCAAGCTGGGGCATCGGAGATGGCAGTAACCACACTGAATTTTAACGACACTAATCTGCTGGTGGAAATTTCTGCACAGAAAACCCTGAAGCAGCTACTGCAGTGCAAGAGGTTATGGGACCACAGTCGTTCAAAACTACCCTAACATCCTGGGGGGCAGAGGGGGTGGAATAAATTATAAAAAGAAAAAACATTTTCTTTTAAATCTGTCTGCAGTTGTTTCTGTGATAATAGGAAGAAAAAGCAATTGCAGTATCCATTCCAATAGGTTTCAAAAGAAGCACTGAAGAGAAACAACAGCATGTTAAACCATCAGGGAGCTTTCAGTAGTTAGAACATGATCCTAGCCTGGTACAAATTCCCCAAATACTTGTCCTTCAAAACAGTCTGTTAAAAAGCAGCATCAAGAGTTACGCACAAACCTCCACAGGAGCTCATATTCCACTTCCTCTACTAATTTTTTATTATAAAATTATTCATTTAATATTTGTATC